CCGTCGCGGTCGTCGGCGCCGGCGCCGCCGGGGTCAGCTGCGCCCTCACCCTCGACCGCCGCGGCCACGACGTGACGCTTTTCGACCGCGCCCCCCACATCGGCGGCCAGCTCAACCTCGCGAAGATGATCCCGGGGAAGGAGCGCTTCCAGGCCCTGCTTGAGTTCTGGACCCGCGAGCTCCGCCGCTCCACCGTCAACATCCGCCTCGGGACGGACTTCACCCGCGACGACCTCGCGCGGCACCACAACTTCTTCCACGCCGTCGTCCTCGCGAACGGGTCGATCCCGCGCCCGATCAGCTCCCACGTCTTCCCCGGCGCGAGCGAGTCGCGGATTGTCGTCCCGTTCGCCAAAATCCTCGACGGCAGCGTCCGCGCGGGGCGGCGGGTGGGGATTATCGGCAACGGCGCCATCTCGCACGACGTCGCGTCCTTTTTGCTCCACGACCCGCGCGTCTCGCGCGACGTCGCGTTCTTCCTCGACGAGTGGGGCATCGACCTCGAGGCGGGGACGATGCTTCCGCCCGAGCGCACCAAAGAACGCGCCCCCCGCAATAACCGCGAGGTGATTTTGTTTGACAAGCCCAACCGAGACGCCGACCTCCCGCGCGGCCGGGGGTGGGCGCAGAAGCTGTGGATCCGCAACCACGGCGGGACCATCCTCAACAACGCCCTGATCCAGATGATCGACCAACACGGGATTTTTATCTCCACCCTGCCCCCGGACAGCCGGAAGTTTTACGTCGAGTGCGATACCATCGTCTGGTGCAACGGCATGCTGCCGAACTTCTCCGTCGGGACGTGGATTTACGAATGGATGAAGGACGGCGCGAAAAAGCGGGGGGAAATGATCAAGGACTTCGGCATCTACGCGGCAGGGTCCTGCCGCGACAGCCACACGGGCGAGGGTCGCGGCGAGCAGGATCTTCTGCATGCCGTCCACGAAGGCTTTGAAATCGGTTCGAAGGTGTAGATGTCAGCAAATGCTATCAACCAAAGGGGAGGAATTTAGGAGGAGGAGGAGGGAGGGGGGGGGGATTTTCAAGCAGGATTTATTGTTGAAAAGGAAAAATAAATATTCTAGGGGAGGGTAGGGAGGAAAGAAACGAAAGTTTCTATGAGTTGAATTTATCGTATCCATAGATCCAATCCGCATCGAAAACGTCTTCTATAGCACATGGATTGAGTTTATAGTTTCCATTTTTATACACCTTATACTATTTCTTTATTATTATTCTTAGGTGGGTGAACTCCCAGCATATGCTTCTATTACGCTCTTCTGAACACGACTCAACTCTCCTCTAAGGATCACTATTATCCATATATATATATATATATATATGTTTATATCAACATCGTCTTTGCCCCATTTTCATTTTAAACATATATAACTTTTCACTATCCATTCAAATTCAGCTTCACATCTTTTAGTTTGTTCCATAGCAATTCACTTCATAACTCATATCGTCTTATATTATCGGTCCATACATATAATAATACCTATTTATATCTATACCTAGATCTCACTATAGATATAATTGCTTTTATTCGTCTCCCTTTGGGTGTAAAAAAAAAGAAAAAAACCATTGGGACGGTATCATGTGTGGGATCTTCGGCTACGTCAACTACAAAGTCCCCCTTTCCGTTCGCCAGATCGTCGAGACGCTGTTGTTGGGGCTGAAGAAGATCGAATACCGCGGCTACGACAGCGCGGGCCTTTGCCTGGACGCGATCCCCCTCCCTTCCGACCACAACGCGGCGAATGACGGGCCGACGCCGTTGGTGATTCGCAGTGTCGGCAATATCGACGCCCTTCGCGCGAAAACCTTCGCCGATCCCGCGCTTTCGCCGGCGCATTTGGACGTTGTGGTGGAGCATCACGTCGGGGTCGCCCACACGCGATGGGCCACCCACGGCGAGGTCTGCGAGGCGAACTGCCACCCCCAACAAAGCAACGACGGCGCCTTCAGCGTCGTCCATAACGGCATGATGACGAACCACCAGACGATCAAAACGATGATCCTGCAGGAGAACGGCTATACCTTCCGCAGTAATACCGATACCGAGGTCATCGCGGTGCTCGCGGAGTACCTGTACACGGAAAAAGGGATCCGCCGCTTCACTGAGCTGACCTTCCACCTCACCCATTTTATCGAGGGCGCCTACGCGTTGTTGATCCGGAGCTCGCACTTCCCTGGCGAGTTAATGGCCTGCCGGCGGGGCTCCCCTCTGGTGATCGGCGTCCGCGAGCCCCTCGCGGAGGGCCGCCTGACGGAAAAACGCTGGGGCATCAACGACGGCAAAAAGCCGGTGGAGATCTTCTTCGCGTCGGACCCTCATTCCTTCGCGGCCCACACGCGCCATGTGGTTTACCTCGAGGATGGCGATATCGCGCACTACCGGGACGGCGCGATTGGCTTCTACAACCCCCCCACCACCGCGGCCCCGGCGCTGGAAAGCGAAGTCTCGCGGCGAATCCACCAGCTGGACGGGGTGCTGGAGAGCCTGAGCAAAGGCGGCTTCGCGCACTTTATGCTCAAGGAGATCCACGAGCAGGCGGGGGCCGCCGAGCGGGCGATGCGGGGGCGCGTCAACTTCGTCAGCGGGGCCTTCCACTTCGGCGGCTTCTCCGCCCCGCGGCTGCGCAGCCTGCGGGAGGCCCGCCGGGTGGTGTTGATCGCCTGCGGGACGTCGATGTTCAGCGCGATGGCGGTGCGCCCGGTGTGGGAGGAGCTCGTGGCGACCCCGGTCGCGGTCGAGAACGCCTCGGACTTCGTCGATCGCGGCGCGCGGGTCGGGCGGCTCGACGCCTGCGTGTTTATCTCGCAATCGGGCGAGACCGCGGACGTCCTGCGGGCCTTGGAGGGCTGTCGGGAGGCCGGGGCGGTTTGCGTGGGCATCACCAACGTCGTCGGCTCGAGCGTGAGCCGGATGACGGACTTCGGGGTCCATTTGAACGCCGGGACGGAGGTCGGGGTGGCGTCGACCAAGGCCTACACCTCGCAGGTGGTCGTGCTCAGCCTGATCGCGCTGCTGCTCTCGCAGGACTCGCGCGCGCTCAAGGGCCGGCGGGAGGCGATCCTGCAAGGCCTCTCGGAGCTCCCCGCGAAGATCACCCAGACCCTCCACGACGTCGAAACCCCCATCCAGGAGGTGGCGAGGCAGCTCCAGAACGAGTCCTCCCTCCTGGTGCTCGGCAGGGGCTACGACTACGCCACCGTGATGGAGGCGGCGCTGAAGTTGAAGGAAACCACTTATATCCACGCCGAGGGCATCAGCTTTGGCGAGCTCAAACACGGATCCCTCGCCTTGGTCGACCCCGCGATGCGAATCCTGGCGATCTGCTCGGACGACAAGCACGCCGAGAAGTGCAAGTCGGCCATTCAGCAGGTCAGCGCGCGCGAGGGGCGGATTATACTCATCACAAATTACTCGGACCCCGAGTTAACGACGGCCTGTGAGAAGTTGATCCTCGTCCCGAAGATTGTGGATTGCCTTCAGTGTATTCTTAACGTGATCCCTTTTCAGTTATTGGCCTACCACACCGCGGTGCTTCGCGGAAATAACGTCGACTGCCCGAGAAACTTGGCGAAATGCGTCACCGTCGAATAAGAGGGATCCCCACTCCCGAAAGCCGTGAAGGGCCCTTCTGAGCTTATAAATGGTTAGATCGTTTTCGCACAATTAGATCCCCAAAGTGCCCTGACGATACAATATTCTAATTACTCCAGTGAAAAATAAAATTTTAATTTCTCCTAGTCAACGTAGTCAATTTTTTTTTTCTTGGACGGCTCATCACTTTTCTTTATTCTTTACTCTTTATTAAAGAGATTGGAAGCTTAAATTATTGCTTGATGTCTAAATTATTGCTGTTTTCATACCCAATAAATAACTGGAGTATAGTCACTCTAACCCCCTCCAAAATATATAATTATGTTATTAGCGATTGGGGATCTAAATTTTGGTTTGCATTATTTTTATTTTATTTCAATGTGTCGATGAGCCTTACGTCACGTTGCCGCATCGGCCACATCGACTCCTATTGACATTTGATATGCGGATGAAAAGCATCCTTTGATCTGTTTTTGGTGGGGCTATGCGAGATGCGGATTAATGACAAATGCATTGGGAGAGAAGGGGGTCAAGACTTTAGGAAAATCGGTGAAGTATCTTCTAAGTAAACAGCGAAAATAAGGAATTTTCGGAAGGAGGGTGAAACCGTTCACATGATAAACGATCAAAAAGGAGAAATCCATGCGCTCTGGCGTATGCGCTTCTACCGTGTTCGGTATCGGCATTCTTCGTGATGCTGGCAAATTTTACGCACTGAAATCAACACTAAATATTAATAATAATTGAAAATATTTCATATAAACACAGGCTCAACGAAGTCACGAAAAAAAAAAAGGTGGCTCGTTACGTGCTACTCTTCTCATTTCTTCCTTTTCTTGAACTTCTCCACGCCTTGTTGAATTAACGGGTGCTCAGGCTGCTGGCAGGGGCAGATGGGGGGATACCCAAAGTCTGTGTCGATTAGCCAATAACCCACGTCCCAAAGAGCTATGAAAACGTAGCTTTCTTAAACTTATTACTCTTTTGTACCTCTAGCAAGACTCCCAATTTAACCATACGGAAAAAAATATGCTATCCTAATAATGCAACCATGTCCAATAAGGTAGCTGAAGGTCTGTTATATTTTTCCGCAGATCTTATAGATTCACTCTGCGTGTGTTTATCGATGAAAAAGTGGAAAATAAAATAAAATGTATATGAACCTTCTATTTTACAAACTTCAAAAAAAAAAAAAACCCGATATTTACTCTTTCTAGTTTTTTCCCCATTTTCCCAAACGATCCCCCCTAAAATTCATTCTCCCTAAATGAAAAACCCCCCCTGTCCGCCCGAAA